TTCTCAATATAAATTTTCGAAATCAATTATTTTTTTTCCATAGAACCAATATCGAACCAGACCATTTCTGATTCGATCCTTTTGGTACAATGGATTTTGTCCACCCCTATTAGTAATAGTCGATCTATATATACACACTATCAATGCAATTTATGCAGTGATTGAAATTAAGCTCATTGTATGCTAGGCTTGAGGCCTTGAGCTATAAAATTCCATTCATTTAAATGAGTCGATAAATTTATTTAAATTACTAAACTATTCCAAGTGAACAAGGGGAACTTAAATCGTTTTATGAATACTAATGAGTTAAAAAAGAATTAAGCTCCTTTGCCAGAAGAAACTTACCCATCCGGTTGACCTACTCTCACATTCGACTGGGACCCATGCCGACCCCACATGAATAAAAAATGCAAAAACATACCCCCCATCCACTCCTATTGTGTGTGTATATCACCTAGGGTGTCAAACAAATTCTGGCACCCTAGCATCGTCCGTTAAAAAAATGGCACTTTAATTTGAAGTACACACTTAGCAGGTTGTCATGGATGGCATGCCTGTATTGTCCTTGAATAGCATTAGATAGTAACTGTCAATAGATCACGAGCCCAAGCTGACATTGCTGGCATGTTGAGTACACTGGTTTGGATCAAATAATAGTATATTTGAACCTCTTTTTTTTTTGGGAAAATAAATTTTATAATAGCGATTTTTTGAAAAAATACATACTTAAATAGCAGGAAGTTTTGTTTTATATTTACTAGTCAACGTTGAACATGCAACGAAGTCTTGTTTTAGATTTACTAATTAACGTTGAGCGTGCATTGTACATCAACGTTGAACGTGCGTTGTACGTTGTTATGAATTGTTTTATATGCGCCGTTAAAATAATATTTTAATATGTTTGAATGTTAATTAAATTAAAATTAATACCAAGGAATATATATATTGGATGTTCATTAACGTACATGAATGTGAATAATGAAATACATTTTTTGAATGTGAAATTTTAATTAACTTACAATTAACATTAAGAACACTGAAATGTATAAATGAAGATGACTATTAATTAAATGGATGTGAATATTAATTAATTAAAAATTAATAATAAAGAATTCATGCATTAATTAACGTACAAAGGTGAGATAAATTTGTCAAATATACATGTAACTAAATGATTAAATAAATTATATATATATACACACACACGAAAACTAAGATATTATTAAAATAATTGAATTCTAACAAAATTAGAATCGTCCAAAAAATAATTCTCGCTTGATGTGATATTTAATATATTATAAATGTGTAAAATTTATTTTATTGAAAGAATGTTTGATTGAATAATATTTATAGTCCTTGTCAAATCTAGCCCCAATTTGACAACAATTATTTGGAAAAAAAATAAAGTTTCGAATAATGATTTTTAAGAGAATATGTGGTTTAAAAACATAGAAAAGTTTTAAGTTTACGTGCAAAATGTTTTATTATGTAAATGTGTGGTTGAAAATGAATGTGTATAATTTTTTTACTCCCACATTCGACTGGGACCCATGCCATCCCCACATGAATAAAATATGCATAAACTTACCCCCCACCCACCCCTATTGTGTGTGTATATCACCTAGGGTGTCAAACAAATTCTGACACCCTAGCATCGTCCGTTAAAAAAATGGCACTTTAATTTGAAGTACTCACTTACCAGGTTGTCATGGATGGCATGCCTGTATTGTCCTTGAATAGTATTAGATAGTAACTGTCAATAGATCACGAGCCCACGCTGACATTGCTGGCATGTTGAGTACACTGGTTTGGATCAAATAATAGTATATTTGAACCTCTTTTTTTTTTTTTTGGGAAAATAAATTTTATAATAGCGATTTTTTGAAAAAATACATACTTAAATAGCAGGAAGTTTTGTTTTAAATTTACTAGTCAACGTTGAACATGCAACGAAGTCTTGTTTTAGATTTACTAATTAACGTTGAGCATGCATTGTACATAAACGTTGAACGTGCGTTGTACGTTGTTATGAATTGTTTTATATGCGCCGTTAAAATAATATTTTAATATGTTTGAATGTTAATTAAATTAAAATTAATACCAAGGAATATATATATTGGATGTTCATTAACGTACATGAATGTGAATAATGAAATACATTTTTTGAATGTGAAATTTTAATTAACTTACAATTAACATTAATAACACTGAAATGTATAAATGAAGATGACTATTAATTAAATGAATGTGAATATTAATTAATTAAAAATTAATAATAAAGAATTCATGCATTAATGAACGTACAAAGGTGAGATAAATTTGTCAAATATACATGTAACTAAATGATTAAATAAATTATATATATATACACACACACGAAAACTAAGATATTATTAAAATAATTGAATTATAACAAAATTAGAATCGTCCAAAAAATAATTCTCGCTTGATGTGATATTTAATATATTATAAATGTGTAAAATTTATTTTATTGAAAGAACGTTTGATTGAATAATATTTATAGTCCTTGTCAAATCTAGCCCCAATTTGACAACAATTATTTGGAAAAAGTAAAGTTTCGAATAATGATTTTTAAGAGAATATGTGGTTTAAAAACATAGAAAAGTTTTAAGTTTACGTGCAAAATGTTTTATTACGTAAATGTGTGGTTGAAAATGAATGTGTATAATTTTTTTTTTTTTTTCCAAATAATGGTTGT